ACTTGACTGTCCAGCAAACTCACCAGACCTGAACCCCATAGAGAACCTATGGGGTATTGTCAAGAGGAAAATGAGAAACAAGAGACCAAAAAATGCAGAGGAGCTGAAGGCCACTGTCAAAGAAACCTGGGCTTCCATACCACCTCAGCAGTGCCACAAACTGATCACCTCCATGCCACGCCGAATTGAGGCAGTAATTAATGCAAAAGGAGCCCCTACCAAGTATTGAGTACATGTACAGTAAATGAACATACTTTCCAGAAGGCCAACAATTCACTAAAAAAATTTTTTATTGGTCTTATGAAGTATTCTAATTTGTTGAGAGAGTGAATTGGTGTGTTTTTGTTAAATGTGAGCCAAAATCACGAGTTTCACAATTTGAGTTGAATTACTGAAATAAATGAACTTTTCCATGACATTCTAATGTATTTAGATACACCTGTATATGCATTACATGTTTTTTCTAACAATACTTCATAACAAATATTATGAAATAAAAAAATATTTTGTCATGCTAATCCATATGCACTATGAATGCACTGCAGTCTCCAGATAGTTATTTCAGTAACATTGCTTCTATAAAGCAGGGGTCTACGACCTATGAGCCCTCATTAGAGACTAGTGACTATCCTCCCAGTGTGTGAGATGTGAATGTTGCGGTGCCACTTATTCAATATTCCATTTATATTCCTATATAGAATGCCACATAGTGTAGAAAGCAATATTGGACACCGCTTGTTTCTACACAGAACATGTGTAGTGCGACATGGCAATGGTTGTAAAAAAACGTGTATTTGCTGTAACAACTCGACTGGCCCTGAGTGGAGAAAGTGGCCCCCAGATAATTTGAATTTGAGCCTCCTGCTGACTGAACTGAGCTGTTAAATGGATGGCTGAATGGTGCCTAATGTCCCATGCCTCCTTGTTTTCATTAAATCATGTTTGTTTAATATCCTGAACAGATTTAGATTGTCACACAATCAACTTTAGGCCAGTGTGTTTATCAATAATGTCCATGTAAACACATTTGTGAGAACACTGCAGAGCTAAATTAATGTAATCACTTTGAAATAGCAGCAGAGTTTGACGCTACGTCTCACCTGAATTGTGTGATTTGTGCAGCTTCAACACATTTTGCTTCAGGAGAATATTTCTAATTGTATTCAATCAGTATGAGGTAATTATGTTACATCATGCTAAAAATATTTAGATTAGAATCTGTTTTAAAACAACAGCGTGAATAAGTAGCCATAATCATCGTTTCCTATATCCAATAGCACAATATGCATTATTTTACATTTAAATATTTTTTATTATTCAAATATATATATATATTTTTTTTATTTATATATATATATATATATAGTGGGGGGAAAAAGTATTTATTCAGCCACCAATTGTGCAAGTTCTCCCACTTAAAAAGATGAGAGAGGCCTGTAATTTTCATCATAGGTATACCTCAACTATGAGAGACAAAATGAGAAAAAAAAATCAAGAAAATCAGGAATTTACCAATTAATTCTTTAAAAATCCTACAATGTGATTTTCTGGATTTTTTTTTTCTCATTTTGTCTCTCATAGTTGAGGTATACCTATGATGAAAATTACAGGCCTCTCTCATCTTTTTAAGTGGGAGAACTTGCACAATTGGTGGCTGACTAAATACTTTTTTGCCCCACTGTATATATATATATATATACACACACATACATATACCAACACGTATGGTTGGTTGCGTACTTTTATACGTGTCACTGGAGCATATTTTAATGTGAAAGAGTGACGCTTAAAAGCTTCTTATATTCTTCAGCTCAACTCCAAAATAGATCTGTGAAAACAGTGAGAGGAAAACAGAACAAATAGAGAGAAAAATGAGAAAGAGATAGCATTGGGCAAGAGAGAAGTGCGAATTTTTATGAGGTAGGAGTGAACAAATAGTGAGAATTAATGACATGCAGAATCAATGGAGAGTGATAATCAGATCTGAATAGAAATGAAAGCGGGGGGAAAAACACCAATCCAAATAGGATGCTTCTGGCAGAACGCATTCTAGACCCAATTGCTTCCTCATGTAGTTTGGTTTCTGTCAATCAGGTGTGTCTTTGCAGTCCATCTTGTGTATGTAAGTAGTCCGTCAGTCATGTCTGAATGTGCAGCCAGTGTGGTGGTGCATTCATTCACTCATCAATCATGGAGGCTCCACACAGCCTGTTGTGGAAAATCTTTCAATGAAATGCACTTTCTTTTATTTTTCATCTACATTTGCAATAGATTTTTTTTCTTAACACTATACAGTAAGTTAAACAGTATTTTAGGATGACTAATGCATTAACTCATGTTAAAGATTTTATTTTTTGTATCAACATTTATTAAACTTGGTTCATATTAATTTATAAATTACAGATATATAATTTATAAATATAGTAATGTAAATATAAATATCTGTATACACTATAAGTATAGCTATAACATATTAATTTATAAATACACTATATTTATCCACTGTTAAAAATGCAGTGTTTCCCCTGCCATTATTTTAGGGGGGGGGGGGGGGGGGGGGGGCAATCAAAAGTACATTTCTCCACTTTAAGATTTTTTTTGTGTGATGGAAAGGTTCGATTTTAAAGGTTCTTAAAGGTCATATGATGCGATTTCAATTTTTCCTTTCTCTTTGGAGTGTTACAAGCTCTTGGTGCATAAAGAACATCTGTAAAGTTGGAAATTAAGCTAAATATTTTTGATTGAATAAATAAGGAAACCAGCTAAATTGTTTCTTTTTAAATTATGCAACTTTTCCTTTGTGGGTTGAAACATGCACGCAGTCTTTAATTAGCTATATTTATTTATGATTTTTAGTTTTTGAAAAAGATTATGCTCACCAGGGCTGAATTTAGTTGATCAAATTACAATAAAAGCAGTAATATTGTGAAATATTACTATTTAAAATAATTGTTTTTTAGCCTTAGCCGCTTTCTTGGTTTCCTGGATTTCTCCCTCAGTCTTGCCCCTTCTGATTCTGTCTGCAGTTCATCGACCCACGCTAGCCCTAGGATTGTTCTTGTGTTTTGCCCGCCATATACCTGTCTGCCTCTGTTTGACCCTGCCTGCTTTATGACCACGTCTCTGTCTTCTCCACAATAAAAGCTTTGCGAATGGATCCTCACGCCTCGTGTCTCGTCAGCCCCGTTACAAGCCCCCTGCTTACTGCAGGGCCATTGAGGCCACACCCCCTACATGCACTGTGCTTTCATTTCTTAAATCCTGCACACAAAATATCAAAATGTCCATCTTGGTAAGTATTCATGTAAATTACATGAATATTACAAAAAAAAATTGTTTAAAAACTTCCTTGTGCTGTGTGTAATATACTGTGCAACTAAATAAGGCTATACCATTATAAAAACAAATACACTGACTGAACAAACCATAGACTGGAACAAACATTTAGGTGAGATAATAAAACAGAAGTCTAAAAATGACCCTCCCCCACACACAATCCCTGCTAGTCACCTAAGAGGGGGATTTCCCTGCATTTTCTCTGAAGCCACACTTGCTGCATTTGAGCCCAAAGACTACATCTAAGTTTCATTGACAGTTTATGAGGTATAAACTAGCTCAAGCTGTGATGCTCTTTCTGCTAGCCAGCTTTGTTACCATACAGAAGTACAGTACTGGTCAAAAGTTTGGAAACATTACTATTTGAATGTTTTAAACATTGCATATCTTTTGCTCATCAAGCCTTCATTTATTTGATCAAAAATACAGAACAAAACGGTAATATTGTGCAGTATTACAATTTAAAATAATGGTTTTCTGTTTTAATATACTTTAAAATATAATGTTTTTTCTGTGATGCAAAGCTGAATTTTGAACATCATTACTCCAGTCCTCAGTGTCGCATGATTCTTCAGAAATCATTCTAATGTGCTTATTTATAATCAATTTTGGAAACAGTTGTGCTGTTTAATATAATTTTTTTTATTACCTGTGATTCTTTGATGAATAAAGAGTTAAAAATGAACAGCGTTTATTTAAAATAGAAATCCTTTTTTAACAATACACTACCATTCAAAAGTTTGGGGTCAATATATTTTCTCCTTTTTTGAAATGAATACTTTTATTCAACAAGGATGTGTTAAATGAATAAAAAGTAATAGTAAAGACTTATATTGTTAGAAAATATTTTTATTTTGAATAAACACTGTTCACGATTTTTCATTCATCAATAAATCCTGAAAAAAGCATCACAGATTCCCCCAAAAATCCCAAAATGTCATTTTTAAAATGTGCATTAGTTTGCATGCATGTGAGCCTATGATCAAACAAAATGTTTATATTTATGTTTGTATATGATAGTTTTATAAATTTCAAATTTGTATAAGTTTCAAACATGGAATATTTCCAAAATTCCCCAGACGAAGTTCCCATGGAAAGTTTCCGGAAATTTCCGCCCCTTTGCAACCCTAATTTGTAATAATACAAATGCCTTTAACTGTCACTTTTGATCAATTTAATATATCCTTTCTGAATACAAGTTTTAATTTCTTTCATTTAAAAATCTTACTGACCACAGACCTTTGAACGATAGTGTATATGCAAACTGTATAACCCATGGTTTTACACTCTTTTGGCATATTTTCCCCTCTCTTTATTCTCTTGATAGCGCAAACTTTAGTTCTTAGGCTTAGGTCTCACTGTACTTTACAAAAACACAAGTTATGCGGCTATAAAAATAAACATATTGAAGTTCATTTTGTACAAATAGGGCTTTGGTTTCACTGTGCAAGTTTTTTTTTTTCTTCAAAAATCTGCTTCACATCTGCTCACAAAACTGGATGATGACTTTTGCGCCTCATTAAAATGGAGAGATGATCTGTCAAAGTAAATTGTTCTTTGAGGCTTTGTTGCTTGTGTTAGAGCTGTTATCGTGAACAGTAGTGTCATCGCCAGAGTTATTGAGACAGATTTATAGAAGAGGGGCGATAAATGGCGCATTGCAGGAGGAGAAGTGAGAAGGGCAGGTGCCGCTGAATGGTATCTCATATCCCAATAAACGTGCGAGCACTCACACTAAGGCCATTCAGTGATCATTCATTGCATGATTGGATGGTCTTCACACACCGTTGACGCACAAGTCAGCATCACAGTAAGCAGTGAATTTTGTTCACTGTCAGTAACAATTGGTTGTGTGGGGTCTATGAGGGAATAAATCATCTTTGAGCAAGTACTGTTAGGAAGAAACTTCCAGTTTTCCCACTTTTTCTTCATTATTTTTTCTCACCTTGAAATGTAATCTCATATGGAGTCTAACACAATTAAAACAGTGCTGCACACATGTGTAACTTACAGAACCAGACAGTGCTGCTGCATGTACAGCGCCCAAAGTTTTGCTTGGATTTGACAGTATTATTTATTATTTTTATTATTATTTATTTTTCTGACAATATGGCACTGAACAGATGTTTTCAGATGTTTTCCTCACAAAACCTGTCAATAAAAAAAATCACATTTCACACCAAAACCAAGAGAAACAAATAAGAAAGACATTTTACAGTTAATATATACAGTAGCCTAGTATTTTGTTGGGACCCATAGAATTTGTTTGCATTATGCAGTAAAATAGATTTTACCCATACCTACTGTAATGCATTTGGCATTGTCTTTCTCATTTTTTAATTATGCTTCTTTTTATTTCAGTACAGTCTATTTGGAACCATATTACAGTAATAATGCCTTTAATTTTAATATTTTTTATTATTAGAATAGTTTCATTTTAATTTTTAATTAGATTATTTATTTTAACCATTTATTTGATTTATTTATTGATAATTATTCCAAATTTGCAGTAATGAAAACTAAAAATTGTGCATTAATGAGTACTGGTGTGGTTAAAAAGGTGAAATTTCTTTTCAATTTCACTGCTTTATGTTGCTCCTTCATTTTTACCTAACAAGTCTTAGGTAAAAGGAATCTATTTCATCTGAAGCAACTTGTACTCTATTTACTGGGATGATCCTCTGGGGCTTTAATGCCTTGCTCAAAGGCACAATGGTAATGAAGCAGTATTGTGATTGCGAGTGGGACTGAGCCTGCGAATATTCTATTAGCTTAGATCTTTAACCATTAATCCCTACTTGCCTCCTATCATGTTTGAATGAATGTGCATGAGAATCAATTCAAATGTAAAACTTAATTTGAATGTTGCCATCTGATTTTAAGAGACCTGCAGTCCTCAGATTGATGCATTTTAGGCCACAGATAGGGATTTTCAGAGACTTCAATGAATTATTAATAGAGGCTGCAGGTTATTGTGGTGCTGTCTAGGTCTTTCCTCAAGCAAACTGAATTTAGCACATATCTTGAGGGAAGAGTGCTATTTTTGGCTTGAGAGAAATATGTTAGTATGTGAATCTCTTGCAGCTTACTGAAATCAGATAATGGCTTAGTCAGTCCTTTCAAGGGTTTATTATCTGGATATTGGAAAACTTTTTGATAGGAATCAGAATTTGGAGTGTTCCATTGAAGGTTTTATTGATCTTCACCCCAGACGCAGATGTGACTGAAAACATGAGGACCTTGAGAGCTTGTCCATTTATATTGGCCAATAGTGTTTAATTTTCATCATAGCTTCGGCAAAGCCGCACCTGACAGCTTATGACAGCTACAGCTTTAATTAAACTGATCGACATGCTAGTCGATATTTTAATTTCACAGAAAATTAAAAATAAAGCTACCAATAACAAATAATTCATTAAAGTACTCATGAGAACTCTTTCTACGGGTATTAGAAATTGGTTTTCGTTAAGGTAAAACCCTGAAGGATTAAGAATGCAAGCAGATCTCATGAGCCCATGAGTCACTTTTTCGAATACAAATACAACTAGATAATGCACACAAAAAATTACCCTCTATATTGTATTTTTTAAAACCACTCTTGACATTTTTTTTATCAATACTTTTCAGTTATCAATTAAATACACATTTGTTTCTAATAAAGGTTTCTCGCACCTCATCATTAGCCTTTTTTTTTTGCGTGTGTGAGCATTATGGCATGAAACATTACCATATAGCATGGTCATGATAGGCTGCAGAATGTAGTCTTTGAGCTCAGAGATGGTTTATCGTTCTTGAAAAAGCATATTCACATTTCAGGCCATTTTATGTAATCTACTAGCATACTAATGGGTTAATCTGTAATGTTACCAGTGCAATTATAACCTTATGCTGAAGGCTAAACACATAAATATGTGTGCTTATTCATTCAATAAGCATAATAAATATTATTATAATAATAATTTTAAAAATGCTGTATGTAAAGCCTCCCACTGGCTCACATTAAAGAAGCTGTACTTTAAATATAAATTACTGCAATGTCACAGCTGCTGGTGTTTAACATATTCTATATGCTTATAACAAATTATCTACAGTAATTAGCAAGAGATATATTGCCATAAGTAGCACATAAAGTCTTTATAACATAAGAATGTTATCATGTTGCTGGATGAGGCTGTGTTCTGTATCAAGTGTACTTTTCATCACTTTCATTAAGTGCACTTTAAGAAACGGCCTGTGTGGGCAGACGATTGTACGTGTTGGAGTGGCCGGTTTCATTTTGCTCAGCTCTAAAAGTCAATTAAACACTAATCATTCTGAGGAACACATACAATCTGTGTTTGTCTAACAATGGGTCATGGCAGGCACAAAACCTGTGACATGTGAGCAATGCGCATGTACTGATGTGTGCTCTCATTCTCACAGAGACAATAGTGTGAAGGACTCTTGTGCAGAGATAAGGCTGGGATCAATGTAGTGATGTGATTCGGCTGCAGAGCCACCAGTCAGAGCTGTCAGCAGAGAGAACATATCTCACACACTGCAACACAAGTCACACTGATTTATGTGCACACCTAAAAACAGCACCATTCATGCACTGCATCCATTTTGACCTTTTTTGTGTCAAATAATGTTTGAAATTGATGCATCTCCCCTGGCAGTCACTTCTAAGTGTCAACATTTTAAAACTGCTTAAAAATAGCAGACCTGTTTATACTGAATAAGTTGCTCATTCATGAAGACGATGCCCAGATGGGTAGAGCTGTAGACAGAGTGGCAACTTTAAAGGAGCTAAAATACGAGATAGTTTAATGTATTTTTTGGTGATTGCATAATCATTAAATAGATATTTCCATTTGTGTTATTTCACAATATTCATTTCGTTTTGATAACCTAAAATGAATTGTGAGCCATCCCCACAACATCTGAAGACTGAGCCCTTTTAAACGTCACTCTTTTTTAACAAATTATATTTTTTTCTCAGAAAGAGTAACAGTATATGAAATAACATAAATAACATTTAACAAATAACAACTATCCCTTTAAGGCTGGACTGTCCATCCACATTCATTTTTAATCACAAGCACACACCACAAAGATTGCATATCATCATCAAAACAATACACTGAAAACACGACTGGATGAATTCCGCAAAGAACATCTACGGTGATTCCACAGATAAACAGTGTGAAAGCCTGAACACTCACAACAGCATTTCATTTAAATGAATGATTCATGTGCTAAGGCCATTGTAAAACATTAAGTAACATTCCTAATCAGGATGCAGAGAGGAAATGTTAGATAAGCAACGTGTCAGAGAAGCTTTTAGCTGGGGTTGTCCCTCTGAACTCTGAGATAATTAATTAGAGGTCCTCATTAACTGATTCCAAACACGTAAGCTGTTATATGAGGCACTGTATATTTATAACCCTGTTCCAGACAGGCAAACATCTCATGTTCAAGGTATTGCCTGAAGCATTGTGCTGTGATTTGGTCCTTTACATTCATATTTACCTGTAGTTCCGTCTTTCCAGAAGATATCCAAGCTTGAAACCACAATGTGATACTGTTGCTGTTCCATGTTCAAGTGGATTCAAACCCAATTCAAGCAAATGGATACTTGCTCATACTATAAATACCAAGACACCACCTGCAGCGTAGATGTTTGGACACAGAGTGAAAGTTCTGTATTTCATGTTTACAGGGCAAAATCCACACCCCAAATAGTATATCTACCTAATAGAGGTGTCTTGACCCTCTATGTTTGTTGTCCACTGGGCTGGTCACCGCTTCCAAGGTCCGACTCGGCTTCTCTGCTTGCGCCCCCTCTCCTTGCGGAGAGTCGGTCCAGTGATTTAGGAGAAGAGTTTTGATTCCTTCTGGAGAAGCAACTGGCTATGTCCGCTCGGAACGAGGGTGTGAAGAAACCATAAATGACCGGATCGCAGCATGTGTTGAGGTTGCCGAAGACGAAGAGAGCGTGATGGATGTATTCTGGCATCAACTGCAGCATACGAGGCTGGAACCAGTACCAGATGCCGAGCAAGTAGTACGGTGTCCAGCACACCACAAATGATGCCACAATGATGATCGTCATCTTCAGGGTCTTCATGCGTGCTTTGGGAATCATGTTGGTTCCACTGCGTCTCAGACAAGGTTCCCCACCTATAAAACCCAACATAAGTTAGAAGAAGACTAGAGAATGGTGCTGTGTGTCATGCTTTATCATTTTAACCCAGAAACTGTTTTGGTTTCACTTTATTTTGATGGTCCCTTTAACACATTCTGTTGACTATAAGTAACGTTGCACCTACATGTCTATTAACTCTCATTAAAGTATTATTAGAGTATTTGTAGACTGGTAGGGTTAGGGTTAGAATAAGTTGACATGTACTTGCAAAGTTACTTATAGTCAGTAGAATGTCTGTTGGGAGACCATGACAATAAAGAGTTAGCAGATATTATGTGCTGAGACTTTGTTTTATCAAAAATAACACATTAAAAGTCCAAATTCAAGGCAGCCCTAGAACCTGTTTCATCAACTGTTGAGAAGTAAATTCTTCATTAAATTCAGTACACTATGGAAATCTGGATGCGGCCACACTGTTTATCAATGACAGGTACCATGTCAGAAGAGATCAAAAGTCAATTACCCTTCCCTTTACCACGAGGCATCTGGCGGTTGATTTCCACAAGGATTCGCGTATAGCAGAAGCTCATTACCAGTAGAGGGAACACATACAGGGTGACAAAGTGGAACATGTTGTAAGCTGTTTCCTGCCAGCGCTGCTGAAAGCTTCCATGACTTACACACTGTACAAAGTCAACTCCTTCAGCCTTAATGGCCCTGAAAATAAATAACTGAAACGATAAAAAGCAATTTATAAAGAAAAGTAATAAACAGAGTTTTTTCTATCATTTGACCTATTTCTCCTACAGAACACAAAGGAGAAATTGTTAGTTTCTCATGCAAAGCTATTGTATGGCATTAAGAACACTTTTTAAACATTCTTATGGTGTTTTGTGTCCTTTTATAGAAACTTGAAAGCTCCAGTCTTCATTCATTGTAATTGCTTAGAAAAGAGCAACCAGCACAAAATTTCACCTTTTATGTTCAACCGAAGAAAGTAAGTCCTACAGGGTTAGAATGACATGAGGGTAAGTAAATTATTTTTATTTTTGGGGGGTGGACTAACCCTTTGATTAATTTGTAATCCACTGATTAGCATTTTGTGACTGTTTTGCATACAAATATTCACACATCTTCTGCAAATAACAACACCACGTGAAATGTAAAGTCTCAAAGACTGCAAATAGTAACAGCAAGCCAAAAGGATTTCATGTCATGAATATATGCATTGTGATGACAAAACGCTCCTCAGTGTGGCTGATGCTCTGTTATGGGTGTTTACTTTACAAATCTATTTTTGCGTCACTGCAGGAGGTAAAATGAACCATGAAGTTGGGAAAAAGCACATTTTGCTATCTCTGTTGAACCTGAATCAAATATTGTAAATTCTTGTCATGTTATCACTTTGTACTTTCAGAAAGAAAAAAAATCCATTTGACATATACTTCTCTATATTCTGCTACACAATTTATCAGTTAGCACTCAGTCTGACAGAGGAAAACCTTCCTCTGGGGGAGGTGCGTGCACAGAATATAAGTGCAGGAGGTATAGATATATTGATATATATAAAATTCACCACCCACTCAGAATTGTATCTCTTTCCCATTATCCATGGCTGCCTAACTGACCTTGTCTCAGACAGGCTTCTTTATCTCTCTTTTAATGATTTTAAAAGCCATGGTCACATCCACAGGTTGCTATAAATGACAAAACTGGAATTAAGCGTGTGGAGAGAAACAGTTCTATCAGAGGGAAAGATAGGCAAGTCACACTGACAAGATTCAGCCAGGCATTTCAGAGGTTACAGAAAATACCCCGGGACTAGTGTAGCTTGACAAATAGGATCTATAATCAATGCAGCAAGCGCTCACTGAAGAGTCACTGATCCAGGGTCAGTTATTGCACAACTTTAAGCCACAACTAATTACTTAAAAGAAATGCTGAAGCTTAGATGGCTATCAGGAAATGCGTGTTGTAGACTGAAAGTGGAATTTAATTAAATTTGAAACTAAACTCTGTTTTGCTGTGTGCCACTTTTCTTCCTCAGAGGTGAAATGTGTCATTTTTGCACCACAAAATTAAATTGCACAACTGTTTTCAAACAGGTTTCCAGAAAATCGTGAAAAACTTTGTAGCTACGAGTGCAATCAAATTAGTGTGCTGGTCTGTTTATAGTTGTCTCCTCATATTAAGCTTGGAATAGGATACAGTATTTTGAAGAAGACACGCATCACCTTCAACAAGTGTTTCCAAACACCAACATTATCATCCATCTATAAACCCTCTGAGGCAGTTTTGTGCTGTTTTATAACAAGACAAGTCCCACAGATGACAACTCCAATTAAAATAACGTCTCTTTCATTTACCTGTGGAGAGGCGAGCAGGATGCTGAGGATCCAGGCAACCAGCAGCATCCTCCTGTTCCTACGGCCAGCGTCCAAAGCTTCCAGCGGGTGCAGGATTGCATGGTGCCTGTCCAGACTCACCACCACCAGGATAAATGCTGCCGAATGCATGGCAAAAAGCTTGAGGAAGCAGAGAATCTTGCACATGGCATCGCCTGCATACCACTGCACTGTGATATTCCATATAGCATCGAGTGGCATCACCACAAAAGTCATAACCAAGTCAGCGGAGGCCAGGCTGGCAATGAGAGGCCGCAGGTGGGAGGCCAGGTGGCGTCCTCGTCCCCTGGTCACACTGATCAGCACTGAGAGGTTACTGATAGCTGCAAAGACAAAGAGCACCAGGGTGGCCACCACACGAAAGTGGGCGGCCACAGTGAATGTGGGTGTCTCCCAGCCAGAAGGAAAGTGAGGGGTGGCATTCAGCACAGAAGAATTTTCCCAAATGCTTGTGGGATTCACTGACAGAAGAGACATGTTTCCTGACATCCTGTGAAAGGGAAAAAAATACTTGTTTTGTTACATCAGTGTTTCTCAACCCTGGTCCTGGGTGCCCCCCCAGCACTGCACATTTTGTGTGTCTCCCAAATCAAACACACCTGATTCAACTCATTAGCTCATTAAAAGAAACTCCAGGACCTGAAATGGGTGTCAGACAAGGGAGACATACAAAATGTGCAGTGTTAAGGGGCGCTCAGGACCAGGGTTGAGAAACACTGTGTTACATGATAAAAGCTTTTTCTGTTACACAAATGTATAATTGTTACAATGTTCTATGTGATTTCAGTATCACATGGTCTCAGGATACATTCTCTGAATGTTTCAAATTCAGAACAATTGAAATTAATTTGTTTCCAAAAACAAAGGACCACAAACAAATGTAAATTAAGGATACATTTCTGTAGGTGACATTTCAAGCACATTTGTTTGTCTATAAAACCTTTCAAGTTTTGTCAATGAATCAATCACAGTTTGATTTGTCTTGACAAACCTTCCTTTTCTAGATTTTTCATTTTCACTAATTGCACTGGGTTTTTTTCTTTTCATTTTGGTTTATTTTAATTCTACTTCCTTCAAATTCACATTGCAATTCTGCATATTTCTTTGCTACCTTGAAGTTTGAAGGTTTAGAGGCCAGACAGATAGATAGATGCGCACTAATGAGTGAATTGAAAGAGAACCAATTCTTCAATTTTGATTTTTGCTCAACTGTTCTTGGCATCTCTTCATGCACTTTACTGAATAATGCATTCTAAAATTCAGAAAGACATGACTATTCAGATCACATCACCTAGAAAGTCTGATTACCATTACATTACAGTCACCACAGAAACATTCGTCACCCTTACGAGTTTTCACCCAAACGTCCATCTCCTCTGCAGTGTAATATCCTCTGCATTTATAGCACCCATCTGCCAGCTCATCTTCTACAGATAAAATACTCTTGCCACAGGCATTTTTTTCACTCTGGATCTCCTCTAGCAAATATGGGACCAGGTTAAGTGGCAGAGAGATAGATTAAGTTTTTAAAGGTCTATATATAAACCTCTGAGACAACGATCAGAGGTCTGCACTGAGATTATGCACAGCAGACTGAGATTCACGATAAAGTAATTCACGCATACAGTAGTACAGATGTTCTAACTGCCTTGTTCATCATTCTTGCTGATATTTTATTGGGCCACTTGGTTAAAGATACTCTTCGTGAAATAAATTTGAATGAAAAAATAATCTAATTGTGATAAGTGATCTAATTGTGATAAGATAAGAGTTTACATTCTTGTAACATTATACTGCCTGGAAGACAAAAGATGTTTTAATGGTTAAGGGTTCCCACTCCAGCTCTGGCTCAGATATAAATGCCCTATCATGCTGACAAATGGCTGTTGTCAGTATTTCCCTTCACTCCCAAAGTGATATGGTCTTTTGTATAGCTGTAGTCAGGTAAACAGCATGGAGGTAATAGATAGAGAGAACCCTAGTGAACACGACGGCTGCACCAAGCCTCCCTTGTATCCGCACCCCCCACACCAAATTGCACAGCGCTCCAGTCGTACTACATCTCTGCCTTTTCACGGCAATTGTTCTTCATGCTTGACATGAAATATATTCTATAAAGAGTAGAAATGTCTTGACCTGGAGAAACCTACTTCATATTTTTCCATCTAGTGAAATCAATATGCATTTAAAAATCCATTTCATGAAAGATATTAGTTTTTGTTGTTGTTGATTAATCAAATGAGCCTATGTATGTATCTGCTCTAAGAATTAGCATTTGATAGCTGTTATAATAGATGATGTTCTTGGCTTCACTGTCATTCTGTTTATATGACAGATTGATTGAATGATTGCTGGATATCTGCCCACTGGAAACATGGCAGATTTGCATTGCTGCCTCTTAATATAGGTAAACATTATGCAAATATATGCAAAGAAGAGTGTCAGCCATCATAACTCTTTGTGATATAGCACAAGTGAGGTCATGAAGATGAAAATCGTACTAAAATGCTGTTAGAAATGTAGAATCACACAACTACCTGACTTTAAATTTCTTTCTTGTTTTCTTTTATATGGAATGGGTTGTTGTCCATGGTGGATTCATCATACATTCATTCAATGCTGTTCAGAAAACCAAAATATTCCAAGATTTTTAGGGATCATTGTCATCATAATCTCCGAAACTTTGCCTGTGAATTTGCGTAATTAAATTCATATCCTTACTCACATGACTAATGACTTGAAGCTAGCTAATTAAGATAGGAGTGATGAGAATATTAAGATTTCATGGCAAATTAATGTGTGAGTGGGCTGATTTGTGCCAGAGTGGGATGACATTTACCAAAGTGGCCTGAAATAAGACTTTATAGCTTATGAATTTTTATTTTAACTCACAAAAAGAGACAGAAAATAAAAGGAAATGTTTTTTGTGCCACTTCTCCCACTGACCATATGTCTATAATAGTTTCACATGTCATGAAGCACATATTTAATAGCAGAAAAAAATTACATGTGCTTCATAAGCTTCACCTCTGCAGGGTTTAGCAGCTAATTAATTTATGCCAGATATTAGTGTGAAATAGGTAGATCTTAATTATATCAGTTACACTGTTTTCTTTGGTTCACCTAAAAAAGCTTTCATGAAAAAGCTGATACACATTCAGGATTCATCAAGGAGAGTCATTTACATTAGTTTCTTAAAGCAGAAACGATTCTGAAATTAATTCCAATATATATATATATATATATATATAGTCTTGTTATTATTATTGGGTACAATTCGATTTAAAATCCGAATACAGTAATGTTTTTACTCTGTTGTCATGTGCCTATTGAGAATGCATGTATAGGCTATACAGAATAAGTACAAATATGCACAATAAACTTTATTCGGGGTAGCGCCATATTTATGTTTTGACAAAAATGAAAACGAGGCTGTGAGGGATGGAAGTACTGTACAGTGCTTTCTATGGATCGTACTGTCAGTAGACCAAAACCAAAAAAAAAAAAATTTGAAAGTTGTGAGACCTGTTACTAATGTTCAAGATAAACATAAATAATTGAAACAGATTGCGGTCTGCAAGTAGGCCTATTTGAGCTGTTCCAATGTGTCAAGACATATTGACTCAAGACATATTGAATTGCTGTAGAGAATTTGTATTAACTTTCAACAAGTCATCATGTGTCCTTCCATTGTGCCAATTGTATGGTTATCAGTATATTTTACAGTAACAAAAAAAGTTTTAATAGCTTAGGTTGATATGTTAATATTTAGGCAGTTTTTTTTCCAGCTTGATCAATGACATATAAAACAGTCACTAAAATACCACACACCTGTAACATCATAACTGTATGTAGGCTACTTTAAAGAAGTGTATAGACTTTCATTCTAAGGATATATATCAAAACAGTAACCATTATTACTGTGAATACAATATTATTATAATATTAAGTAGTCTGTAAAATAAGGTTTACCCAATTATTCTTAAAGGGAGACATAAAACCCCCTTTTCTGTACATGGCTTTCTAACAACAGGCAGTCTCTTCATAAAACAGTCACTAAAATGCCACACACCTGTAACATCATAACTGTACAGTGGGTACGGAAAGTATTCAGACCCCCTTAAATTTTTCACTCTTTGTTATATTGCAGCCATTTGCTAAAATCATTTAAGTAAATTTTTTTCCTCATTAATGTACACACAGCACCCCATATTGACAGAAAAACACAGAATTGTTGACATTTTTGCAGATTTATTAAAAAAGAAAAACTGAAATATCACATGGTCCTAAGTATTCAGACCCTTTGCTCAGTATTTAGTAGAAGCACCCTTTTGATCTAATACAGCCATGAGTCTTTTTGGGAAAGAGGCAACAAGTTTTTCACACCTGGATTTGGGGATCCGCTGCCATTCCTCCTTACAGATCCTCTCCAGTTCTGTCAGGTCGGATGGTAAACGTTGGTGGACAGCCATTCTTAGGTCTCTCCAGAGATGCTCAATTAGGTTTAAGTCAGGGCTCTGGCTGGGCCATTCAAGAACAGTCACAGAGTTGTTGTGAAGCCACTCCTTCATTATTTTAGCTGTGTGCTTAGGGTCATTGTCTTGTTGGAAGGTAAACCTTCAGCCCAGTCTGAGGTCCTAAGCACTCTGGAGAAGGTTTTCGTCCAGGATATCCCTGTACTTGGCCGCATTCATCTTTCCCTCAATTGCAACCAGTCGTCCTGTCCCTGCAGCTGAAAAACACCCCCACAGCATGATGCTGCCACCACCATGCTTCACTGTTGGGACTGTATTGAACAGGTGATGAGCAGTGCCTGGTTTTCTCCACACATACCGCTTAGAATTAAGGCCAAAAAGTTCTATCTTGGTCTCATCAGACCAGAGAATCTTATTCAGGTGTTTTTTAGCAAACTCCATGCAGGCTTTCATGTGTCTTGCACTGAGGAGAGGCTTCCGTCGGGCCACTCTGCCATAAAGCCCCGACTGGTGGAGGGCTGCAGTGATGATTGACTTTCTACAACTTTCTCCCATAATACTGAGCAAAGGGTCTGAATACTTAGGACCATGTGATATTTCAGTTTTTCTTTTTTAATAAATCTGCAAAAATGTCAACAATTCTGTGTTTTTCTGTCAATATGGGGTGCTGTGTGTACATTAATGAGGAAAAAAAATTAACTTAAATGATTTTAGCAAATGGCTGCAATATAACAAAGAGTGAAAAATTTAAGGGGGTCTGAATACTTTCCGTACCCACTGTATGTAGGCTACTTTAAAGAAGTGTATAGACTTTCATTCTAAGGATATATATCAAAACAGTAACCATTATTACTGTGAATACAATATTATTATAATATTAAGTAGTCTGTAAAATAAGGTTTACCCAATTATTCTTAAAGGGAGACATAAAACCCCCTTTTCTGTACATGGCTTTCTAACAACAGGCAGTCTCTTGCAATTTATTTCTAACATCATTATTGGATTCTCTGTCTAAACTGGTTTA